ACGTTCACCTGACGAAATGCTATACCATCAAGACTCAAACTTTTGACCAGCATCCTGTGGGGCTGTACGACTTCAACTTGAGCTGGTTTGTCAGCCGCTTCGTGTCTCTACTGCAGTATAAAGTTGTAAAGTGGAAAACAGTTGCAAGGATTTGCTCTTTAGAAGGAAAGACTTTCTCAATTGTTTCCTGCATTAACTATTATTAAACTAATATTAAATAAAGCATTATTTAATATATGTACTTTAGCGGTTTTATCGTATTTTTTTATTTACGTTTTAATTGCTAATGTTTTGAACTTTAACTGTGGTAGAGCCACGCAACAGAGTTCACTGTTGCACGGATGGGTAGGTCCGTCCGGGTAAGTACCATGTCTCTTCAAAAGACCGGCGTAAAGTAGAAATGTTACACTTCTTCGTGTCGTTTGGTGAGTGAGGTAGCAGGGGCACCACACAGCACTTTATGTAAAAGGGGCAAAGAATTTGCAACCCTATGGGTGTTACAAATACCCATGGGCGGGGGTTGTCACTTAACATCAAGTGACCGCCATCTCGTTTGCCACTTTATTACATAAAAAAGAAATAACACTACGAAGCCCATCACAGTTTGCTTGAAAAATCCAAAGAGGCCGTTCGTAACCCCAAATTAAATTATGGACAAGTCGAACGACTAAAGCGTTGTATCGTTTTATACCATATTTTTCAACATGTCCATGACCGTGTTCTCAAGCATGAGAACTCGGTACCTATTATATCATTATTATCATTATATTATTATCTTATACTTAATATGTAACATAAAAATAAAATGAGAAAATGTTGGCTTCAAAATCAGCTGTCTCTGTAGAGCGTATTTATTTGTACAAAAACTATATAGTAAACTAATAAATGACAAAGTTTGACAATGTAATAATTATATCAATAAAATCATGGTCTTCGCAAGTAGATTACATTTACTACTTGAATTGAAATGAATGTGTTATAAAAGTCATTTTTAGAGTTACGTACCCAAAGGGTAAATCTTTTTTTTTTTTTTAAAAAAAAAAAACAACTCATTTGCCTTACCTGATAAGTAGATTGGTTTTTTGGACATATTATATGTATATGTAATTCTTTGACTGGTTCAATAGCGTCAGTGGGTTATAATATTTTAGTTTACTATTGTTGCTTGGCCCAAGCAAACAAGCATAATATAACGCGATGATAACAAACGTGTCTAAGAAAGGCCAAGGATCAAGGCAAACAAAGTTTGACGACAGATGTGAAGCGTTTTACGCTCTCTGTAGGTATATAAAATGATAGAGGTATGGCCGGTGAGCGCGCATCAAGGATAAACGACTACTGAGATTTACGTTTAATTTTTCTAAGTTTTTTCTGAGACACATGACTCTTATCTAGAACAAATACTGTGATATTTTCAATCAATGCACATGTATTAACAAAAAATATGTAATATATAATATTGATATTTAACGTTTTAATTAAACAATATTTTCAAATGTAGAATATATTTTTAAACGGTATTTTTAACCCAGATTCGCAGCAATATTTGCGGAAAACATATTTTTGGGCCATGTGGCGTTCAAACTGCACAGCGCGCAATGTCTGATAACAAAAACGTCTAAACCATTTAACAATCAGACAATGTGGACATATAAACAAAAATTATTACTTCAGCTAGTTTGTACTCGTGCAAAAACAGAATAACAAGCCAGGACTTGCAAAAGTGTAAATAATAAATTTTATGTTTCAAATCTTTGGCAATTATAACCTACTTATTAGCGATGTCATTGAAATCCAAACTATGATGCAACCACGTGTCTTTGTTCCAATATTTTGGAGGACGGCGCTTAATTACTCAATAAGGACTACCCGTTGTCTGATAGTTGGTTTGTAAATACTTGGTGCTCGACGTTCTGAATATAGAAGCGAAATCGGGACATTCCATTAGAACTAGCTGATACTCGCGATTTTTGCATTGGTTATTATAATTATTAATAACAATACCTCTTGCCCCACTTCTCCACGATAAGAAAACAGACGTCACCAAACACAATGTGCTTATAAAAATCGATGTTTAAAACTTTAGTAAATTTACATTAATTAATTTTTTTTTAGAAATGGGCTAAATTTCTAAGAAATAAAAATTAAATAAATTAATAGAAATCTATTCCGTAGTTTTCATGGGCGCACAACCGCAGACCTGTATTTTGTGTATTCAATCATTTAAGTTTTTATATATAAAGCATAAAGCGCTTCACGTCTGTCGTCAAATTTTATTTGCTTTACTCAGTGGCCTTCCCTGGACACCTTTGTTAACAGCGCGCTTTATTTTGCTTGTTTGCATAACAAAAACAACAACAGTAAACTGTAATATTTCTAACCCACTGACGATATAATAATTATGTAGAACCAGCCAAATAATTACGTACCTGTATCTCGTAAATATCTTGGACGTAAATCTATTCTTATGTTATCTGAGTGAGTTCACAAATGGTTGTTTAATAAATAATAAGTATGTGTACATACGGACATATTTCCGAAATTTTAATAGTCTAAGGTGTGAGTTTGGTGGGGATAAGGTAGTCAAGTGAAAGTTAATCAATATTCTGAAAGTTAATCAATATTTTGAATCACCTACACCAGTTGATAGACTTCGTACATATACAAACGTACTCATTGGTTTATCTATGTATGACTTTTAGCCACGAATTCATTATCGCCATTTAAATCCTATGCACAATTCATGATTGATTTTATTTTTAGTGTAGAAAACCCTAAAATGTAGAATTACCACATTCTAAAATTAATGAAATCATTACGCTGACCATCTAAGTGGGATAAGGTTAGGAGGATGATTCAAGGTGGTGACAGACGACTAAGAATATTACCTCGTTAAATCGTTTACCGCCTCCTATGGAAATCTTTTCTGAGGTCCTATTTTTCGTCTAGACGGTTCGTCTATTCTGTAATAGTTGATTACTCCACACATAGTTCTTATTACACTATACTTTGAGCACCATTAGATTGGAAATGTACCTATATATACATAATATTATTGTATCTGTATCCACACAAACGGTAAAGTTTGCTGGCAACTTTAATTAAACTTTTCAACAACTATAACCACTTCTAGACTTCATCACTTCAGACTGCACGGCGTCTTAATTATTCCGCCTAAACTAATACAGCCCCAACTGCAAACCAGTCCCATTCACTGTATTAAAACGTTGAAAATTGAAAACTGTTTAACTTCATAACTAATCGACATTTTCATGATTTTTTTTTTGATAAAATTGGAGATATTCTCGCTGGAATTCGCACAGCTATAGAGTATGTATTCAAATAAATAATAACATTTATCATCAAGAGAACTAAGTAGAGATCGAAAATGTTTTAACGTTCCTTATTTCCTTCTTCCACACCAAACAAATACGTTTAAGTTGGTTACGGATACTTTTACGCTCCTCCCTTAGCATATTGTAAATCTCCGAACCTCAAGGATATTCACTACGGATTTAACTCTTCAGTTTCGAAATAACAAAAATATCTTACTCAATTTTTCTTTATTTATCCGTTTCAGGCGTCCCAACCACGTTTACAATAATAATAATAAAAATATCTTTATTCACATAGACTTATGAAACGTCAATTTTACCACGGTTCTTTTTTGCTCCGTTTCTTGTTTTAGCCTACGTGAGTATCAACAGGCGTAACCCCCAACCACGTTTACATTTAATTTTTCGTTTAAATTTCCACCTCACTGTGGGGATTTATTTTTCCACCTCACTTTCATCATTCATTTGTCAATTACAACAACTCTTTATTTTAATTTCGTATCATTTTCATAAATCCCAAAATTTTTGGTAAATGTATAAGGAATAGACTTTCCTCAAACATCGGTAATCCATGACTAGAACACAACACCGCTAAAATGGTGAGAGCAGATCGGTGTTAAAGGGGAGTTACCTATCAAGTCTACATATATAGCGGTTACTTATCAAGTCAGTCGCTGGGCTATTCAATTCCATCACGAAATAATATGGTGGTAATATTAGAGATTCTGTTCTATTAAATTCCTGCTCGTTCGGAGAAGTACTATTGACATACAAAATATTGGCGTATATGGGACATATTTTTACAACCTTCTTGAACGATGACATTGAAACCAGAATCTCGGAGATGGTTCATTATATTCTGTCATAAAAAAAAAAACATAATATCGTGGGCAACAGATTTCATTATCAATATAATATAGAATTTGTGCTTAAGAACGTCGACGTGCGAGCTGATGTTTCGATGTCTTGTGATAAATTATAACTGTTTCTAGCTAGCAAGATAATGGATAACACATTTTTTTTTATTTTATATCAGCTTTACAGCGAAACTACCGGTCTTTTGGACACAAGTAAGATGAGCGAAGCGTAAACATTAAAACATAGATAGTATCTCTTCCACCTCTTGAGGATTGAAAGAAGAGGAAGTTTATTTAATTATATTTTTATTTTCAAGTTATTTACAAGTTTTCATCACGACCTTCCTTTTGAGATCATTACAACGTGCAGTGAATCAGCCCAAAATAACTATTTACATCTATCCCATCCCGGTTACGATTGAAAGTGTAAACACTTGTAGAGCTATGTGATGTAAAACAAATGAAATGTCCATTCAAGAAACATGAGTGGTATAGAATATAATATCTAAGACGAGGTCGCACTCAACCGCAAGTCATAATAATTATGTTTAGATGAAATTGGGACAATATTGTAACGAAATATGTCAATGTTCTTCATGTATCTTCTTTGTTTTTATATTTGTATTATAGCATTATTCCTAAATGCTATTGTTTTTACTTATTAAACATTAAATGGAGTTTTAAATATTATTAAATCAATCGCATAAACTCGTGATCCTTTTAAGAATATTGTCATCTTGAATCTACTCCTATAAAGCAGGAATCAAATTGTTAATTAATTTTACGTAAGTATTTAGTTTTTGCTTCAAGAAGCAGTCATTGTGCACCATTCGATCTCGTCGGTTCGTTGGAAGCCTAACTTCGTGTACAATTTGTAGGCACTAGTATTGCCCTCTAAACAAAAGGCGACCACATATTTTCCTTGCTTCAACAGTATGTTCGATATTAGCTTCAGGACTAATTCGCCGTAGCCCTTTCTTCTGTGTTCTTCCAATGTGTATAGATGACCTAGAGCGCCCATTTCTTTGATGAACACCCACGCAATCAGCTTGTCGCCATTAAATAACCCATATCCCAAATTAGCTCGGGTTAACAGCTCGAAATACCACAAGGAGCCTGGGTATCGGTGGGGCCATACCGAGTCAACTTGTTCCACGTATTCGAGGGACAGCAGTTTAAATGTTAACTCCTTTTGTAGTCTGAAATTTAGAGATACTTTTATTATAAACCGTGTCTTGATAGCTGATAGTCCGGGCTTGCTTTTAATTGAATATACTCGAGCAACCTGAGTTCATACCCCGGGGCCCGCAACAATGAAATTGTAAGTTGCAATTTAAAGTGATTTATATTTTGACTTATACGTGCCTTGCGGTGAAGGAATACATCGTGAGGAAACTAAAATTTATTTACTTTCGAATAGTAAGAAAATAAATACATTGCTTGTGGGATATGTGAGGTGGTAGAAATCACGAAAACGCGTTTTGCTCCCTCCAGTGATCTCTCAATTACTACATACGCCAGCTAGCTAAAAAACGTGGGGTGGTATTTAATAGGGTGCTAATTGAAATTTAAAACAAAATCAAAATTAAAATTGAGACCCGACCGACACTCCGAACGAATACGCAAAACTATATTTGTAGTTATTTAAATTGTTTATAGTGCTAATCTTTGCACTTAAGATTGAACATTAAAATATTATGTAGAAAAAGTGCGAAAAGATTGTCGCCGTTGTGGGAATCGAACCCACGTCTTCGGCATTCGCGGCCTGACGCTCTAGCCTCTGAGCTAAACGGCTGATTGCCACACCGACGAAAATCTTAACGTATTCTTCTACATTGTTTTCTTAGCATTTGAAGCAATGCTTGGCGCCATCTATTGTTATATCCTTTCCAGCATACAAACAATTTCGAATATCGTTTTTACAACGATAATTCGAACGAGAGATGTCGCCACAATCTTTTCGCACTTTTTCCACATAATATTTTAATGTTCAAGTGCAAAGGCTTTTCGCACTTTTTCTACATAATATTTTAATATATTTGTAGTTATTATCTACAAATATACTTTTGCGTATTCCTTTTTAAAATAGCTCATGGAAAGCGTTCGGTGACGATAATACGAATTCCACGATTTTTGTTCACCCAAAAAGTGCTTAACGCAACTTTAGGGAATACCATGACCTCACAGAAGACCAGCGTGAACTTGAAGTGTTATAATTAGGTACGTTTCGTCTGGTGAGTAAGATAACCAAGGCCCACTTTATTAAAAGGTGGCAACGCGTTTGAAACCCCATGATGGACATCGGGTTTCAAACGCCTTACCTTAGGGCGACAGATGTGACTCAAAGTGAACTGTTGCCAGCTCGCTTGGCACCTTCAAAGATAAAAAAATTCACATGATATTGTACAAGACAACTTAGCAGACTGCAGAAAGCCTTATATTTACCCTGCGATGACGTCTAAAGTAAGTTGGATTGTTGGTTATCAAACTATTATAAGAGATAACTATATCGTGAACTGTGATAAAATTAATGTTGCTATGCATTTAGGTGTTCATAACGCAAATTACCTGACGTCCTGAAACAAACTGCTGTTTTTATCGAGAACAAACGTTTCAGTGGTAACAATATGCTGTATTTTCAAGTTCTTATGCAGGATTACTTTTCTGACGCAGTCCATAACATGTTTTGGCGCGAATGGCACTTCAACTGATTGACTCCAATCTATCAATTTAGTGTTGTTAAGCGCTTCTTCCAGTCTTTGTGTATCGTCGTTGGCAATCTGTACCACGACTTCGTAATATGTATTCTGGAACGAAAATACCGTCACATTTCTCAAAGCGTAGGAAACATCAGATAATAATTTCCCTCAAAGAGCATCGGCATAAAATGTTTTGTTTCTTTTTTGACTTTTAATGAGAAATGAGAAAATAATAACAGATTGCAGACTTATTTTATCACTGAATATAAATTATTTGACATGTTCACGTTATGTTAATGCTGACATTTGTGGTGCTACCTTGACATTCAGAGCGACCATTCCGTTTGATAAATCTCCAAATGGACAATACACTTTGAATCCATAATCGAGACCAAGCTGCAATATTCTCTCTAGGTTTTCTAGAATAGTAAAGCCAGATATACTTCGTGGCCAGTCCGATTTGAAGAGGTCCTTGAGTTCGCTCCAACGGTTTACTGGTACAAAAACTAAAGGATCTGCACTCATTTTGCACTATTGCAATGGTTTTATGCACAATGCAATGTACTTTATTACAATTTGTATTTCAACACTGTTCGCACAGCCGTTCACTACGGTCCGTAGATAACGGGACACTGTCAGGAAACCGACTGACTTGCTGTTTATACCAAACAACTGGGAGTTCCACTTTACTAATACTTAAATAATATTTGCGAATATGATATAGACATAATAATAAGTAATAAATATCATGCGGTCATCTGTGCTAGTAAATAATAATTATCACCATATAGTACAAAACAAAGTCGTCCCGCTGTCTGTCTGTCTTTAGAACTACGAAACGGATTTTGATGGGGTTTTCTTTAATAGATAGTGATTCAAGATTTATACCTATAATTCATGCATAATATAGTAGAGAAACACTGATAATTTTAGAGGTTTCTAATGCGATTTCGAAAACAAACATTCAGCATTGCACCCGTGCGAAGCCGGGGCGGGTCGTTAGTGAAATATATTTTATTTAAATAAATCGTCCATTACATGATTAAATTACGTTTCGGTTAAGATTCATCTTCTATTATTAGGTTAAGATTTATCTTTAAAAACCTTGCATTATGCTAGGTTATGGTAAGTAAAGTCTATGGAATTTAGTAGTAAACTCAACCAGTAACTCTTAATTAAGGTAAATGAGCGAAACGCTTCTAAACATTAAAATTTCCTAAAACTAAAACACGAACAGACTTACAAATATGCGATAATAAAATAAAGAGGCTAATGTTGGAATTTATTAATCTCATATTTTTTCAATGCCAACCCAGTAGTCATGCCCGATAACAACGAACCCCAATTTATCTAGGAGTTTTTGCGATTTATCATTCTCCTCGATTGTGTAAGCTATGACGTGCCTCCCCTTCTTCAGGAGGTCGTTGCATGCGAACTTCGTTACCAGCTCCGCGTAGCCACGTCTCCTGAATGGTTCTAAGCAGAATAGGTGCGTGAGCGCACCGGCTTCGTTCACCGTTATCCAGGCCATGGGTTTGTCATCGTCACGGGAATACAGCACGTATGTCATATCGTTCTCCATTAGCGTTTCGAAGAATTCGCTTGAATGCTCGTTGTGATACGACCACGTCCTATCTACAGTCTCGATGTGATCTCGCGTCAAGGAAGAGATGTACGTATCGGCAGGTAAACTAAAATTATGGATATAGTATGAACATAACATATATTCGATGTTCAATTGAATTGCAAAAATTATAAGAAAGTATACCTTATATCGAAAAGGGCAGTACTGTTAGAAAGAAGATACGTAATTGCCTTACCGTTCGCGTAGTTAACGTTTATTCCAATTACCTTTGACACTTTTGTAAGGCAATCAACAACATCGGGACTAGCAAAAGGAACCATAATATTTCTCCTCCAATCTACTAAGCTTGTTTTTATCAAAGTCTGTTCTATACTCTCGGTATTACTTACGGGCAGAATAAAAAGTTGTACGAAGCCGCTCTGCGCAAAATGAAAAAGTCATCAAAACAACGGATTTGATTAGCAGACAAAACGAATCATCCATCAACATGAACAAAAGTGATTTACGCATTTTATCGCATTGGTTGTTTTAGCATGGCCAAAATAAATAATCGATACATTGTATAGTATTCAAATCATCTGATAATTATAATTGAATAAATCGCGATAAAATCCGTAACAATTGCTTTAATTGCTTTATCCATCAATGCAATATCTATGCAATTATAAGAAATCATTACATGCAATCTACCTTATCTGTGAATGCGATCATTCCATTGTTAGGGTCTCCGAATGGGCAGTACACTTCAAAATTCAGAGTATCGCTTAATTTTGGATTATTTATTTGTGCATCCAAAAGGCAATAAGCCGAAGCTCTCTTTGGCCAGTTAACTTGGTAAAGTTTTCGAAGTTGAGGCCAGGTTTTTTTAGGCATCTTAAGAAGTGGAGTCATTTTAAGGGAAAATGGTCGTCTAGCAGTTCATATCACTATTTAATTCTGATTTATTAAAATCTGCTTTTAAGGCCGTTAGCTGCTAAAAAATAAGGCGCTAAAACATGATAAGAAGGAACTCCAAACTGTAATATTCTAAAAACAGAACTTAATTATTCGTTGAAACCAGCACTTACTTATGGAATGAATTTTACTAGTTAAAATACTCAAAGATGTAAGAATACATCGAGCAAAATAGGTACATACATGAACCTGATATTTTACAATTGTTACGTTTTAATACAGTACAGTAAGCAAACTACGTACCTACAAAAAATAAAAGTATTTAAGAATATTAGATCTACCACTTCACTCTCCCTTTCACTATAAAACAAGTCTGACTGCTGACATCTGTCATCTGTTGTTAGGTAAGAACAGAAGCATATTGTGTTGCCACGGTCTATTCTGTTACATTTTTGTTTGTTAAGAAAATATGATAAGGTACTGAGTATAAAAAAATATGAAATGTAATAATATAAAATTATATTACCACCTTCAAACAAAAGTACACCACATTTCAAATTAAAGTAAATAAATGCGACTAAATCTGACCCTAATTGACATGTTTTCGATTAATTGATAAGTAGTGTTTGTGCGACAGTTTGCTATTTTTTCTTTCAAGGCGTATATCTAATTACATAGTACAAATTATTCTTAACTTTGAAAGTAAAATAGATAGTTTTTTTTTTCTTAGTTCGCTTAGGTGATGATCAGCCGTGAATGAAACTAAGTCATAGGGCTATTCGTGTAGTTATGTAACAAGTCTTAACCTATTATGAAATTGCCGTTCCTCAGTACTGGCTATTACAAACAAAAAATGTTTTGATTGGCTGTGAATTCTGATTTCAAATTAAGTTTGTTTTAAAAACATTAATATCTTTTTACAAAATCAGTCTTTTGTTTATAGATTAGCTTTGTTATTGATTAATATTTTCATGACATTTTAACATTTCTCGTCATAACGGATACTTTAATAATTTGTGTAATTGTGAAATATGAGTTCCGTTGTGGCCTAAACGGCACGTAACATAAACAACGTTGAGAGAGAACCTTACAAACGAACGCACAATCCGTTATTGGTTTGCCCGGTTTCGTTCTGGAAATTTTGACTTGGAAAATGAACCTCGTGGTTGTCCGGACACTTTGATCAACAATGACGAATTTTTAAATAGGTGATTGCGGAAGCTGTTGAGACTATCTACAGCCGAGCTAGCAGCAGCTTTTGATCAGTATTGGTCCATTTACATCGGTCCATTATCCTTTAACATCGAAACACATGGTCCATTTGCCAATTGCAAGGTAAAAAAACTAGATGGGTGTCCCACGAATTTAACAATCGCTTGGGCAACGTACGCGTTGACACCTTGTGCTGCTTAACTGGCACAGAAACGAAGGAACTTTGAACAGAATTGTTAAGTGCGCTGAAAAATGGATTCTGTTCGACAATCGAAAGCGCTCAGCAAGTTGGTTAGATCCATGTTCAGTACAAAAGCCCTAAACGTCACCTAAATAACACATAGAAAAGCGATTAGCCGTTTGGTGGTCTATGCCGGTGTGATTCATACAAATCACAGCTTATACAAAACGCCATGAGCATTACTGCAGATGTGTACTGTGAAGAACGGAAGACAATGATGGAGAAGCTCCCACATCTGCAACTAGCTTTGGCCAATCGCTTGTCCCTGCTGCTTCTTCACGACAACGCTCGACCATGGGGTCGCACACTGCACAACAGACAGTCTCTAGCTGCAAGAGTTGGGGTTTGAAGCTCTCCGTCGTCTACCAGACTCACCAGACCTTGCACATACTGACTTTTTTTGTTTTTCCAACTTTTTGGCCGGCTTTTGAAGAGTTTGTTGCTTACTGTCCAGCTGATTTTTACAAGAAAAGCACCAACAAACTACCACTGTGTAGGCAAAGATGCATAGACTTCATGAGTGATTACTTTGAATTACAGAAATAAAATGTTTGAAAAAAGAAATACCATGATTTATTTCATACAAAACGATAATTTCAAAGGTAAAGACCTATTATTTAACTAACAGGTTTTAAATACTTATTGGTAATATAATATAAATAAAAAATAAATAGAAACTGCACACGTTAAGTTTAATTTTTTTTAAACTTTATTGTACACAATTATAATAAAGACAATCGGAACAAATGGTAAAAATCATGTACAAAGGCGAGCTTAACCCTAAAAAAAGTTTTCTTCTAGCAGACGAGAACACGAAGTCATAATAATGTGTAATTAGGTGAAGGTGTGTACTTTATTAAAGATTTTACCAGTGTAATTATAAAAATATACAAGAATATATAAGAGTATATATAATTATAAAAACAAATAGATACATACAAAGTTTAAATAATATATAGAAATACATACCTAAATACAATATAAATACATACAATTATTTGTTGTCAATTTTAAGTAGATAAGTAGTGTCTCTTGATTCTATTACAAAAAATGTCATAACTTGACCGCCTTTAGAGTAAATGACGCATCGTACCTTTTGGTAAAGTGAGTAGGTGTTTTAAGAAGTAGGGATTTCGTAGTCCAGCATTTAGTTCCACTAGGAATCAGATATTCAAACCTCTGACGGAGATATAAAGGAGCTAAAGGATTAGATAGTAAGAAATAGAGGAAGGATAGAATTGCAGAGAGAATGCAGGGTGCTATTCACTTTTTTGCCCAAGACACGTGACTATCAAAGATAACACCCAAGTTCTTGGCGGTATGGAATCTGGACGTTGTCATATAATTGTGATTTTCAATGATTGATTTCTCTTACGTTAAAATTTTATGAAACTATTCACTATCCGTTGAAATGTAACCATTCCACTTGATCGAATATTTTAAAACCTAGTTTCTTGTAAAGGCCCTGCGCTTTTATATTCTTTTGAATGCAGAACGCTATAACATACTTATTTTCTTTCAGTAGAGTATTGGATATTAACTTTAACACCGCTTCACCATAGCCTTTTCTACGGTGTTCCTCTAAAGTGTATA